CTATGTTGTAAAATATCCTTACACTTTGTAGGCCACACAGTAAAAATGCAATAGTTGATGTTAAAAAATGTTTAAAAAAAATCAACAACTTAATATTAGTCCTCACTAACTTGTTTGGCCATTTTAGTTTGCTCATTAACTAAATGAAAAATCTCTTGTTAAGACAATAAATTATTTTCAAGACATTTTATTTTCATCATTTGCATAGTACACAATTATCAATCCCAATTCTGTAGCACACAAAATGGGCCTGAGTTGTCTGATTTTTGTGAAGTTGGACTAACAGACCTGGATAATCTGATTGTACCTTGACTTTGTCCAGCATGCACACTGTTCCAAAGTTTGGGGTCAGTAATGTTTTTTAAATAATATTCTATTATAAATTCTATTGAGCAAGGTTGCATTAAATTGATCAAAAATGACGTTTGTAATGTTTCAAAAGATTTCTATTATTAGAATGATTTCTGAAGGATCGTGTGACACTGAAGACTGGAGTAATGGCTGTTGAAAATTCAGCTTTGCACCACAGAAATAAATTTTAACATATTTAAATAGCAAACATTTATTTTAAATTGTAATAATATTCCACAATACCATTTTTACTTCGAGTAAATAAATGCAGTCTTAGTGAGAATAAGAGACTTCTTTTAAAAACATTTATAAAATCATACCAACCCCAAAGTTTTGAACATAGATATTAATCACAGAAAGCAATGTGTATTTAATTCTTTTAATACTCAATAATACATTGTGTCATTTATACTTGGACAGACTAATGAAGATTGAAGTTCAGCTACTCAAAATCCACCATAGCTTATGTAAATGTTCTTATTGAGAAGTTTAACCAATAGGTGGTTGGAGGGAATGACTGGGATGTAACAGAATGGCTCCTCCCTGCCAAAAACAGGACCAGGAATGAGTTAATAGACCAATTCTCTGACTATTTTTTTTAGATACCCCAGGGAAGGACAATGTGCTCCAAACACCACATCTGCTCCCCTCCCAGAGTCACCATCAGGCAGTAGTTATCCAGAGAGTTACAGACTTGAGGAGGTAAAAAAGAGATGATTATTCATGAGAATCATCAAGATGCTACAGGCTTTACTATATTGCTACCAAAACCTGGTGACACCTCTTGTTTTTTAATGAGGTGTGGCGGAATGAGACGGACAAGATGGATGTGGCATCAGTGATTAAGCAAGTAGTTTTATTTACTGGATCAGTTGTATCACAGTGCTCACTGGTCACACTTCTTTGCAGTTGATATCAAAGATATCAACACTGATTAATATAGTTTTTCCTTGGCCATGCACTGTAATGTTCTGGCATTTCTCTGTGTGTGTGTACTTGAACTGCCTGTGAGATCAGAGTGACTATCCATGTACAGTCTGTCAACCAGAAGGCCGTTCTGTTTTCTGTGATGTGCAGTGAAGAATAAAGCCACAGTATAAAGCACTGGAGCTGATGACACCTTTACACACTTCTAACTTTTGACTCTGACTCACTCTGCTGTAATATCCTCTCAAACAGTAACAGATGGTACAAACCCTTTCACTGCCTTCAGATATGTTTGTAGGTGAGTGCTGGTGTCTTTACTGTGTCTTTAAACACATAAGTGTAGTGTTGTACGTAAGATGACTTTCCCCACGCTAATTAACCCCAGCTTGATGCAGATGTGTTTTTTTCTTGACTTTAGCACTATAAAGACAATAAAGAATGACTGCTACACAACATATATATACATTTTTAATTTATATATATATATGTATGTATAAACATTAAATAAATAAAAAATTGTATACACTGATTAGCCACAACATTAAATCCAATGGTAGGTGAAGTGAACATTGATTATATGGTTACAATGGAACATGTAAATGTGTGGAATATATTAGGCAGAAAGTGAACAGTCAGTTCTTGAATTTCATGTGTTGGAAGCAGGAAAAATAGGCAAGTGAAAAGATCTGAATGACTTTGACAAAGGCCAAATAGTGATGGCTAGATCAGGCTAGATCAATGATATGCATAAAATAGGCCAAATGAAAAGGACTGAGATAAATGCAGAGGTTTGGCATACCTATAAACTAAATTCAGAGCTGAACTGATGTCAAAATGAGCTTCTGTCTCTAAAAAGTATTCAATGGCCAAAAAACCTCCTACTAATATAGTTTTGTCTTGTGACAGCAACTTATTAAAATGTCTAAGGTTAGGTTCAGGCTGCAGGAAAATGTGGCCCAAATCTAATTTTTTTTGCTGATATGTGACTCAGATCATTTGATTTTTCATGCAGTGTTGAAGAGCACGAACCTCATGGAATCTGACCTTTTTGATTCTGATTTGGGCCACTTCCATATGTGGTCCTAAATCTAAAACAGGTCAGATGTTTTGCAATACGGCATCAGTCTGAATTTACATCATTCTAGATCAATGTTCGTCATGATTTGGCACTGACGGGAGTCACTCCAAAGATTTTACATACCGGTAGATCTTTGATCACACTGTGAATATGATATACAGTTGCAGAGGTAGTCGGTGGAGAGGCAGTGAGGTGTTAAACTCATAAGTATTACAGTTACAGCTCTATACGAGCTAAATATTCAAAAACTTTGCTCTCTCTTCATCTTCGTCCAATTTATCACCTGCTCACAAATCCGCTGGCTTCCATGCCACAACACCTTAAAAAATGAACATGTAAACGCTTACATCAGTGGCTCCCGTGTTTACTTCCGTATGACAGTCATGGTGTCTCATTATCGTTCTTTTGCACATGCGGGTCAGTTCAGGACCATGATCAATTCTCACAGCAATCTAATATTTGCCACATTTAAAAAAAGATGATGTGAACAACTGAGCACTAATTCTTGCTGGTTTAATGTAGCCTAAATTTGACCTCTGTAGATCAGAATGTCTCTGTTTGTGAAATGCAATCTTGATAGTCCATTAGAAGAATCATCTTGTTATTCTGTCTCTCGATGGTTGTCGATACAGTGTCCCCGTATGATACGACTTGAACCTCTCTGCACAGTTCTTGAAGGCCGTGAACATCAACCTATGAAAACACAAAGACGAAGAACAGGAAAACAAGAGAGTCTGCTCTTTTTGAAAAACACATTTGTTTTTAATGGATGTCTTATGCAATTCTTTTACTGGTTCAGATGGATGGGATCTCTGTAGTTTTTTACTGGGTGTGGGTGCATGAGCTTGATGCATGAGATGTAATTCTAACATTATAAAAAAATGTGTCAATTCAGGATTATGATCACAAAGTAAGTCTGTGAACATAAGTCTGTGCACAAATTGACCTGACGTCCTCAGGGAAAACTAAATGTTATTGGTTTGTTTTCTGCCTTAATTTTGCTTCTGCCTGTGTCAGAATGCTGGTGAATCAGAACTCAGCTATCATCCTTGTTTTTCAGCTAATATAGTTAACAACAGGACTCTCTGCCCTCCAATGATCATATCCATCCTTCCACAGAGCCACACGTTGCTGTGGAAAACATGCCGTATCTGTCACTACAGCTTCCTGTGTTAAAGAATTACACCCAGAAACGGATGGGTCACAACAGGCCCCTCTCTCTCAATCTTTCTGTCCTTCTTTTTCTTTTGATCAAAGAACACATACTTGCTTTTTAACTTGGCCAGTTCTTGATAAACATTATTGCCTTGTTAAACTCTGCTGCTATTTTGTTACCATACCTCATAAAACACAATTAGACGGATGTTCAGTAAATTTAAACTGTTAAAAATGTTGTTCTGGCTTCTATCTAACATGCAAAAGGGATGTCTAATGCTTAGGGTGCAAGACTCACTTTGAATAATAAAAAAAAACGAAATGTTTTTTCTGCCTCATTCTTTCTATCTAAACTTATCTTTGAGAATAAATTGCCTCCTTTTTCTAAACTAATAAAACCAAAAAGGAATGTAGACAAAGAATTATTGGGATTACAATGGGAAAATGTAAGAGCTTCAAACTGTTTTCTCTCCCTACATGTCATTTCTCTTTTCCTCTTTTTGCTTTGCTCCTCCTTGATCTCTTTGCCTGCTACTGTACTAATTCTGTGTTTACTGTCAATAAAACTGAGCATAATATTTTATTAGCCCATATATAGGCTCAATTTCCAGCAATGACAACATTTTTCCTGGTCTTCACAGTCCTTTCATGGGAACTTCGAACTGCGTCCTCTAGGGGTCGCTATGGGGAACGCCTCGTCGTGACCCGTGTCTGAAGCATACATTGAAAAAAACTTTTGTTTGAAGCGTGCATTTCTGTGGTAAGAGCGATCTCTGTTCATCTCATTATGGCGAGCACTAGCAAAGCGTTTAAGGTTTAAGGATGTGTGCATCCGTGTTGACGTTGTTTAACATCTGATGACACACACGATCTATGCGTTATTTGTTTGGGCGAAGAGCACGCAAGCGATGCCTCCGAGGGGACAATCGGCGTGCACTGCGAGCGTTTTTTCCAAGGGAAAAAGCTCCGCTCTCGTTTGTCTCTTTTTTCGAGGAAAGAGGGGCAGCCGTCTGCTTCCCGCGATTCAGGCCCCGCCGCTGCTGAGGCACGGAAGGGAATGAGCTCGTGGGGATCCCAGGTGGATCTGGCCGATGAGTTTGAAGGGGGGTTTCCCTTTCGCAATCGTCGGCTGTGCACGAGAGTGAGCCGCTGGAGGATGATGTTATTTCATTAACATTGTCTGATCCAGGGGCCAGTGCTCTGCTGGGTTCAGCCCAGCAAAAGCAGGAAATGTCTGAGGAGAGCAAAGAAGCTGAGGCTGAGCCTTCCCAATCCTCCTGTCCTGCGTATGATGAGCTTTTGGAAATTATGGATCGCCATAATGCAAGGCAAGGCAAAAAAATAAATAAATAAATAAAATAAAATTACTTGCCGTGAAGCGGGTGAAGAAAGTGACTTCGCGCAGTGTCTCGTTCCCTACTCAGGGAACCATGGTTACATAAGTAACCTGAGACGTTTTGTTGTGCATTGTGATTTTAATATTTGTGCGATTTATTTAATCTCATATTTAGAGAGTTAGGACTCTAGTAACTAAACATCTTCAAACTAGTTCTAAATTCTACTATGAGATTCTACACAAGTTTCTTAATTTCTCTGTGCTCCTTTCTAAGTAAGCACCAAGATCACATGTGTACCTTGACAAATGAAACACACTGAAGCAGGACTATACAAAAAAAAAAAAGATTTGGTTATGCATGTTTAACCTAACTGGGATGTTTTGTTAGTCTGAAGCACCTGATGTATGGAAGATTTTGGACTATTCCCACTAAGATTCCTGGCTTTGTTGATGCCTTTTCTTTGCATGTGACTATTTTCATTTACTCTCCACTGATATCTTTCTGCCTTTCTATTGCTGCCAGAAGATCTCTGCCTGTCTTGTCTTGATCTAGGTTGACTTGATCACACTCTAGGGAATGTGGGCAAGAAAAAACAGACAAATGCTGGGTTAAAATTATATATTATATATACATAATTTATATATATGTAACATTATATATATGCTTTTTAATAACATACATAAACATACATGTTAGCCATGTTAGATTGGTCACCATTATTATGTATTATTTTGCGTGATTGTGCCAGTAGGAAATATCGGTAGTTTACATTTGCAAACATTCATTTAGCCATGAATGTGTTTCTGTATACAAGTGATAGGAGGGGGAAGAACAAAATACCAGCGTCAAATCCCATATGGTATACCAGGTTTCAGACTGCTGGATTTAGTTAAAGGTGTGGTAGGGGCAATATGATGTCACCCCACCCCAAGGTTCTTTGATAAAGTAGGCAGTTATAGCTGGTCCCTTCTCTTTCCCTCTAAGGAATTAAGTACTGGGAATGTTTGCAGTCAAAGACAGTTACGGAGTCACATAGACAGGCCCATGCTGGGCCATTAAAAGATCCAGCTGAAATAAAGTAATGTATTAAACAGCAAACTCGGAGTCTTTAATTATTAAAAAGTGACACACTCATAGTCTCGCCTCTCTTCAGCAGCCACTCAATTTTGTAGCAAATGAGAAATTTGTCCCAAAAGTATGTGAAATAATATCCTTAGACTGCATTTCAAAATATTTGGCCTCACTATAATAGTGAGAACATCTCAGACACAATGGCGATGACCGTAACCTGACCCCCTAAAATGTACTCAAAGATTTAAATCAAAATGGGCTGATTTATGAGTTTGGACCAGCCTTTTTACCCTGTGCAGTATAAAGGTTGGTTAAAATCCAACGTGTCTAAAGGGAAAAGCGTGTTTTGTGCCTTTTATTGTGACCTGTGTCAGAGTGTTTCAGTCAAGATAATTTTGTTCACTTAGACAAAGGAAGTTCAAAATGAAATTAATAGCCTATTGTTACCTCAGAACTTGCAACATAACTCGAAGCTCTCTGTTGAGCAGCAGCAGCAGCAGTGTTCGTGCATCAGGCAGATGGAGCAGATACAGGCGCTCTGAGTCTGAACAGGGTGACATCATACCTTTACAATCTGAAGGCGCGGCCGCCGGTATCACGTCAGCTCGAGACAGAAGAGTAACCCCCTCTTTGATACTTTACCAATTAAGGTTCTCGCATTAAGACCAGAGAGGACAGAAGGAGGCAGAAACGACCAAGGGGTGTCACTAGTGTTTTTTTTCTCGAGTTCAGCGAGCAAGCTTTTCCTCCAGGGACACTCGTCGGCTCCGGGAGGGTCGTACAGTGAGATTTCTGCACTGTGCTCCAGTCAGGTTCACTCTCCGCAGCCTGTGCCACACGCAGACTCCGAAGGAATACAGGAACAAGAGTTACTTCAAGACAAGCATCAAAATGTAAGTTATAAAACCGTGGTTTTGAGCCTGGTCAGCTTACTTTTATTCCGGTTCAAATCTAAGTTCGCTTAGGGTTAAAAATCATTGACGCAGACGTTCCCCACTAAACGTCTTGTATTTTGCGTAAATGTTTCTTCAAGCGGGATGGGTGAAGGGCGTGCGGCGTAGTGTCCGTAATTGTGCTGAATGACTGGAGATCACATTCTTGCGTACCTATAAGTGCCATGCATGCTTAAAGACACGTGAGGTGTACCTATACAATATTGCAAAGAGGAGGAGACTGGATAAAACGAAACAAGCTAACGACAATTAAAAATTTATTTATATTAAAGTCTGTGTAGGCTCTGCAAATGCAAATCTAAATATTAATATTTACTTCATATTAATATTGCATGTCATTTACAAAAAGTGTATAAATCCGAAGCTCTTGAGGTTTTGGCGCATCACTGTCGGAATCTAATTAAGGCCTCCTCACCAAATAAGGGAAAATATGGAAAGTTGCGCGCGCCCCCCCATGCTCGAGGAAAATCTTGCACGAAACATCGCGACATCACCTGGATGACAGTCGAGAGACAGTAGGGCTCGTACAAAAACATCAGGGTTTACAGTAAAGTTCTTCCTTGATGGGAGAACAGGGCAAGTTGTCACAAGAGCTATGTATCAGTAACTATAATGTCAAGTCAAAAGTCCAATTACACAAATGTGTGTTTTCTCCAGAAGTCGTTTTGTATGTTGGTTTCAAACACATATAGCACAAAACCGTCTGAAATTGAGGTTATTTTGGTGAATTACGTCCTCCAAAATAAAATTACAGTATCATTATATTTTTGTTATAGCTGTTCGTTAAATAAGTGAGCACAATAAAACCACATTGGCATACATTCAGACGAGTCAACTATGAATGAAAGCATATTTCATTTGAAAGGTTGGATTGTGTTTGTGTAAATAGACATTTTTTTAAATAAATGTGAGGGCGGGGCAAGTTGTCACATTTTAATTTATATTTAGCAGGATCCATTGTGACAACTCAGCCCATGTGACCCTGCGTCAGCCCACTTGCAATGAACTGTATCTTTTTTCCTGAGCAACAGTGGTCAAAATGTTCAGTAGATTCTTGTATCCAAGGTTTTAAGTTATATGCTTAAATTCACTTTCAAATGTACACCTGCCCTGAGGAATATTCACTGCAGTACAAAAATGTGACAACTAGCCCCTGTCACTTGCAGTGCTATAACTATTTGCGTTTAAAATAATATAAAACACAACTTAGCTGCTCATATTTTTCTGTTTGGTTTCCATGTGCACAGAAGCAATAATAAAGCCACATCCTGTTGACGAAAGAATAAAACACCTTTACAAAATACCCATAGTGCCATTCTCCCCCTCAGTGTGTAATCTGTGTTTTTCACTGGTGCAGACGAGATGCACATCAGTCTTTGCGGCTGACAGCCAGTATGAGGGCTAACCACACTTTTCAGCATGGCTGAATCATGGCATCACGTGCCATCTCCACTTCACTATTTTGACAAGTATCTGTCCTCAAATGAACCTAACGTTATAATGATTATACTAAAGACAAAATGATTACATTTATCTTGGTTTAACTCACTACATTGATTGCATGTTTTGATGATATCAAAGTAATGAAATGTATGAAATTAATAATCATTATTATTATTAGGGTTTCCTACAGTTAAGTTCACCATAGTTAACAGCTGGGAGTTAATATCCGTCTGTCATCAGGGTGACTGGGGAGTGTAACACAGTGTTCTTTTCAGCTATGTGCCTCAAATAATATTCCCATATTTGTCTGGTGCATATTAGAGTATTTTAGAAAACTGTATCTACAATCCCATTTTTGGATTTTTTATCTTGGGTCCTGTAAAAATGCACTTGAAAACCCATCCTGCCTGGTCAGACATGACATTTTTTTTTTTTTTTTTAATAGGCCTACTTCAAATATGTAGCTTGTGTGAATGTTATACATCAAATTTAAAAAAGAGAACCTGCTGATTGAGATGATTCCAGCTCTTTCTTTTGGCAGTCATGATTGAATCAAATTATAAACTGGACTAAAATATTGCTTTTTTTAACCATCAATAAGCGTTGTATGTGGAGATGTTGGGTAGAAGGAACATAAAATCAGCCTGTCATACTTCATATTTCCTGCAGGTGACGCCAGACTACAATATGGCTGCAGTAGTGGCTTGTTCTGAACGACTGACTTGATTGTTCATCCTTTGTTTCTGAGCACTGGCCTATTTACAGTTAGACTGCATTGTAGACATGATAATATCACATGGGGTTTGAGAACAATAGGACATTGGTGATGTTGTTAACTGGAAATAAAACCAAAGAGATATAAAGTTATCCGAGGACTATAAATACCTAGTTATGAATGAAGTTCGTGATCTTGAGTCTGTCTGACATGAAGTAACCTTATCGGTTAAGTTGTGACACTGTGATGAAAGCTTAATGACAAGTCTGAGCATTTCTTCTTCTCATCTTATGCTCTGCTAGAAATATCAAGTTTTCCCTGAGAATAAATATGAAGAGACAAAGAATGAGAGCAAGAGTAGGCCTATAACAACACATTATGTGGTTATGTAGATGTTTTATGATGGGGCGGGGAATTGGAGAGGGGGTCAGAGGCGCTGTGGCTCATTACATGAAGGGCATTCCACAGATTCTCCTGGAGAAACAAACACTGAAAAAAGCTCTAAAGGGAAATATTCTTTTTGGACTGCGTCCTCACACACTGTTTTGGCTCATTTGCCTTATTTAGACAAATGTGGGATTAATGCAGTTCTAAATTTTCTCCTACAAAATGGCTACAAGGAGGGTAGAGATCCGGCCAAGATTTTTATTCGCACACCTTGGGTATTCAAACACCTCTTTAGAAATATTTTCAACTTTCTTACTCATCTATTGTGAATTTTCACTTAGGTTATTTGGACACCTTATCCAACTGCAGTTCATAATTTGATAATTGGTGGCATTACATCAACACACGAATATGGCAAAGTAGAACATTTGCTTAGATTTAGTCTGGACTTTATCTAGGCTATATGTGTTGATAAATGCACAAAACATATGCATAAGATACAACAGAGCTTTAATTAAATTCTGTGTAACACAAATGATTTATTTAATTGAAATCGCTTTCTCACGTCAGAGGAAGTATACTTCGAAATACTGATTTTGAACGATATTTTAAGTATTTTTGTCAGTACATGATGCAAACGCATCAGAGGTTTATGCACACTTGACATTGCGTAATATCCCGTGAATGCTGTATCATGTGAGCTGTTTTCAGACCAGTTACCGTACACAAATGAATGACACACAATGGCATACTTTCATTCAGCAACTTCTTAAAAACTGAATAAGTTTTATAGAATATGTTTGAAAATGTCCACGTACTTCAGCCATGTGTCGATGAGAAACACATTTGTAATTAAACGCATGTGTATTTTAGCCTGATTTCAGTCAATTCTTTGTTTTCCCTTCTAGTCACATAACTTTGGAAAGAAGTGCACGCAAATTGTACAATTCCACAAGACTCCACCCAAAAAGCGAGACAGCGAATTAGTGCAGGAGACCCGAGTCGATAAAAATGAGTCAACACACACGCCCCCACCAGTCGAGTGCCGCTGCCGCCGCTCCCCGATCCAACGCTTCTCTCTCCCCGGACAAGGACGCAGACATGCCCGCTACAGAGAAAGATCTCGCCGAGGACGCGCCATGGAAGAAGATCCAGCAAAACACATTCACGCGTTGGTGCAACGAGCATCTGAAATGTGTCAATAAGCGCTTAGCGAACCTGCAGACGGACCTGAGCGATGGGCTCCGGCTGATCGCGCTTCTGGAGGTGCTCAGCCAGAAGAAGATGTTCCGCAAGTACAACCAGCGCCCCACGTTCAGACAGATGCAGCTGGAGAACGTCTCTGTGGCTCTGGAGTTCCTCGACAGGGAAAACATCAAGCTGGTGTCTATAGGTATGTTCTGATTTCAATCGAACATTGCACTTTATTAAATATAGTATATAAGTTATAAAACAAAGCTTGTGGCATCCAATTTGACCCGGCATTTGGCCAACAAACAGGGCATTCAATTTTAGGCAGGCCACAAAATAACGGGAAAGAATGATGGGAAACAAGGCCTTTGTGGCCAAGGATTGTTTGTGCACATTTGTATGATTGCCTCACGAGTTGCACGTGTTTTGTGAACTTTTTGTAACTTGTTGCTCATGCAGAGAGTTGTGAAAATAAGATAAGTTTGCTTTAATCGCCTGTGTAGTTGAGAATCTGACAAAGAAGTGAGGAACCACAGTCGCTCCATTCAACTGTTGTTAGTCCAGCCCTGAATGTCGTAAAGCAGCAGCAGACATCGTGGCGAATAGTTTAGGGTGGTTTAACCCTAGTTTGAGTGCTGAATGAGTTCATAATCGACAAGTGCACCAGAACTTTGTTTTCTGCATTGATGCAGTCAAGGGGTGGAAAAAAACTGTCCTGTTCTTCTTAATAGGAATAGGAATCACTTCATACGCTAGAGGCTTTCATTTCAGTGAAGTTTGCTTTTTGGTATTTTTTTTATTGTCCGTGTCAATTTTTTATTCTAGTTCTCACGCGGCTATCGGTGAACATGGCCTTCACCGGTGGCACGAAGTAGAATTATCGATCCGCGAGGACACGCCTTCCTCTCATGAGGAGCACAGCTGTCTTCAACAATTTAATGTGGTTGTTTTGGGTGTCAACGGTTTAACTGAGGGATTAGAACATAAAGTTGCACAACATCGCTTGTGTTGTAGATGTCCAGACACGGTTCCTTCATTCAGTGCTGGTTGTGATTGATTGATGACTAACACAGTGACACGCCCTCCAGTTTATGGCTCATTTCAGGCACAAGCGAGTGAATCTGTACTAGATCATGGGTTCATTGAATGCGTGCAGCCCCCCCCCCCATCCCCCCCAACCGTTTTATTGAGCAGATATTCAATGGTAATGCATGTTTGACAAGCATGGCAATAAACATTACATTATATCATTGACTTATCTGCATCTAACTGAAGTTCATTCAAACAAGATTGCATTAAGCATTTCCCCTTTATTACAAAACGAATTGCTTGATGTAATAAGAGAGAAGCTGGGTTATTGTAATGTAAAATTAGCATGAATTTGAAAATGTCAGTTTTTGCTTTAATGACAGCACTCCAGTATCATAATCAAGTTTTACACAGACCTGTGGTTTTCATGTTCTCCTGATTGATTTAAGAGAATCTTGAGCTTCAGTGGAGCAAAATTTACTCTCTGTACAGTCACATGATCTGTCACAAATTTGCATATTTGATTCAGGTCCTAGAAATAGTGCAGTATCTTTAGTTTTTAATTTTTCATAAATTATATATTTTAGGTTTTTCAAAAACCTAAGTTTTTGATAATTTTCAAGTTTAAACTAGCTTTTGAATTCCAAGATTTTCAGTCCTGATAGATCATTCTGTCTTAGTGTTTTAGTATAATTTGTTCTCTTCCGGAAGCCCGTGCTTTCATCAGTAGAGCCACAACCCAATGGCTGTAGGGTTTTGCTCTTAATGGGAGCATTTCCCAACAGCGCCCAGAGGGCATAAATAAACATCCTCTTAGATGGTGCAATCAAGAATTATTCAGCAATTGCACAATATTTGTACTTAGAAACACCTTCATCCCTTACTGTTAATATGAGCAAACCTTTTTGCTGGACTGAGTTGCTCACCCACAGATGATGGTGTAATTGTTTTTTTATGATGGCAGCTTGCAGCCAGTGAAGCATTTTTCACCATTTATGGGAATTATTTGCATCCTTAAGAATTCAGTATGCTTATTAGTTGGGGAATGTGTTTTTCTAGTCATTGCTGAGTTTTGTAACTGGAACTGTTTGTATCATGGACTGTTCTTTCTTTGCAATAAGAACATTGCAACATGAAAGTACAGAGAATTACTGAGCAAGCATAAAGGTGGTATGTGTGTACCCCTGTCATGACAGGCCCCATATTTTACCTGTCTATACGAATATAGTGCTGCCTTCCAAAGCCCGGAAGAGCATGACGGCCCTTTATCGCGGTCTTCATCTGGGTGGGGCTCATAAAAGAGCTTTCAAGTGTGGAGCCTAGAGACGCGCTAATCTGTTTCTTCATCTGGCGTGTTGGTACTTAAATGTGATGTAACAAAACACGATCTTGATCAGCATAGCCTTTTTAACCATATTTAGGACACTTAAGAACATCTGATGCTGTTCAACAAAGAAATTGCTCAATGTCTTGTCTCAGTTGAGGTGATTTTTAGATGCAATAATTCTGAATAAGTCAGAACAATGAATTTGAGTATAATTGTCTTAGTTCAGCTTGTCAAAATGAGTTACAAGTAAAGACTTGATTCTGTTGTGTAGGTGTAATGTATGCCTAGAGGTGCAGAATAGAGAAACTTTATGCATTGGTTCAGAGCCTCTGAGATGCAGTAAACCCAAGATTCCTTTATATTGGTTTTGTTCTGACTAGGCCTGTCGCAATCAATATATCAACTTATCGTGCAATATATGTACATGACCTCAATCATTTTTGGTGACGCAATATATCGCCCATTATATTTACTTAAAAATGAATGTCACCATGTTTTTTGCATTCCACTTGCGCCCGTGTCTTTTGCAGTTTCTCAAAAAATTAAAAGTTTGTTGTCATTTGGAAGTGTGTAGGCCTTCTTGCATTATTATGCTGTTACATATGATTATATATTCAGTGGCATAAAAAGGTCTTTAATGACAATAATATCGCTTATCGCAATTATTTCTGGGGCAATATATCGCACAACAAAAAGGTTTAAGTCTTTCCCTGGTCATCACATTTAGCTTTTCAGTGTTTTTATTTAAGTTTTAAGCTGAATTTTGTTAAAAAATGTAAACATTTTATTTATAAAGACTTATAGATCTAAATGGAGAGGTATGTAGTTATTTAACAGGTCAATAGCTGAGGGAGGCTTCCTGATGTTCCTGTGCTTTATTGGCAATGCCAGGATTTCCTGTTCGTTTGTGCGACAGTCCTGTGGCAATGGAGCGCAGCAGTGGGGCACTTTTTCAGCTGCCTTTGTTGCACAATTTATTTTTCCCATTCATTTTCTCGATGGGGATTAAAAAAGCTGAATAAAGTTCTAAGACATGTCATGAACCAAACCAACCAGATAAAACGGAACCTTAGATTTTGATTTGAAAGCAAAAAAAGTATCTAATAGTGGGATGCCTGACTTATGTCATGCACAATGCTTCATGGGAATGGGAGTTTGCCGCTGAGCTCTTTTTGGCATGGTTTTCTATGGTTATAGTGACAGCTTGGTGGATCCTTTTCAGGATTACTGGTAGTTCTATGCTTGACGTCAAACTTGAAATCTCACTCTATAGATGCATATATTGTTGCTTAATCTCTGAGCTCTGTTGTGAAAGGCAGAAAATGAAACTGATTTTACTTCTGAAACCCAACTGCTGCACTCTAGTGCTCTTGAACAGAACTTTCACATCACTGCAGCTGCTTTAAATGAGAAACTAAAGTTGGCATGAACTGAAGTACATTCGGTGTACTTATGCCTACTTGCACCAGCGAATAAGTGGCATGTGTGCAAGTGTGCGTGATTATGTACCCTCACACCCTTCACCACACTGGAAAGCACCCTATGGCAAGTCTCACCAGTGCTCTTTTAATTGGTCACACTTGAACCGCCAAATTTCTGCATAAACAAAAGAATAAGGTGATTTTTGCACTTGAATGTCTCTTTGTGACTCAGATGTTGAAGTTCCACTTTACTGTGGAACTGTAAAGAAAAAGGTTTTTTAAGGTCGTTGTCACCCTACTAGACAAAACTGCTGCATGGAAACCACATGAAGACATCTGCCATGCGCTCTGTATTCTCCGAAAAGCCTCATGACTACAAACTGAGACCGACAAATAGGTAGGTAGACCCGATAAACGGACGCAGCCTGGAGTGGAGACAGTGAATTAAGATGAGTAAAATAGAATGTGGCTAGGCAATCGATGAAAGGGGAAAAAACTCTTCCTCTGCTGAACATAGATTGCTGCAATTCAGTTTTTCCTCCTCCTTTTGGAGATAAGAAATTGAATTTGGCTGAAGTTAAGCTAATGCAGAGAAATGGGGTGTTTTTTGCTATATTTTTAGACTGAGGGTATGACTTACTCATTTTGGTTGAAGGGAGGTGGGTCAAAGGGAGATGGACGGCAAATAAAAGAAGTGCAAGTGGGATCGCGGAAAGGCAGGGTGGTGTTGGGGGTGTTTCCTAATGGGTATAATTACATGGCACTTCCTTGATCTGACAACCCATAGAAGAATGCATCACCAAATTTTATTTATTTATTTTTACATGCTAGTGTAAGACTTCTTTCAAGAATCGTATAATGGAGATGGTAGGGTGATTCACCCTTGATGGTTTCAGGAAAGAATCCAGCACAATTGGCACTTATCTGATTGTCCCAAGGCATTTATCTCCACCCCTATTTAAGAGCAGAGATTTATGTTCGCAGTCACACTGGCAGAACTACTGATGAATGGAAATATCGCTGAACATGGCCACATCTTTAGTGATCTTGTTAAAATGTAGGCTGGCCTTGTATGTCTTTGTGATATATGGATTGTGGCACTAAACGCGCTCTATTGGCTTGACATAATGAAAATCGTATGTTTAATATGGACAGATACTCTCCTGGCCTCTTTTTTGAGGTGAAGTTGATGGGACTGGGTTTTGTCCAGCCACTAAAGAACCACCAAGCCAAATGACAATCCAGCTCTGTCAATATGGGGTTTTACAAAAGCACTACCACAGCAGTTTTCTGCTCTAGTCAGTTTTCCCTCACTCCTTCTCTTCCTTTCCCTGCCTCCCCGTTCCCTCCCTCTCCCAGCTGTAATCAGAAACCCCTGTGCAAGGGAATGGGTGGCCTGCCAGGATCAAGTTTGCTTCTGCCCTT